CAAGTCGTCCGGCCAAAATTTAAAAAAAAAATAACAACTTAAACCAGAGATCTAGATGTACCTTTTGTCTAATATTCAAACTAAGTCCTAAACTCCGCTCGAAATATAGAAAAAATGTCGACCCCTTCTAGAAGATACGGCTTATGATATTTTGTTGGTTTGTCGATGTCTATTGATAGTATCTAAAACTATTCCATACAACGCAGATAAAAATATTACTACACTCTACGTTGAATTATTATGTTTTATAGTGTTATACTGGCACTATTATTTAAATTCTTAAAAAAATAATAACTAAATCAATAGTTAAATAAAAAAAGTTATCGCTTAAAATACTTTTCACTGAGAATAAATAAGAAACTACTATCCTAAGTTTATCAACTCTTTAAATCAAATATTCATAAAAATGTCAATCGTTATTGTTTGAACTGACGTGGCAATGATTTTTTAAATTTAGTTCAAAATGTATTAATTTTTAGTTGAATATGATTAAATGATTCTGTTTCGGTCAGTTTACAAATAATAGGTTTTTTAAAATTATTTTATGTACCGTACTAAATACTAATAAATATAATTATATACATAACGCATAACATATTATGCGTCTTGTTGGATTTTCTATTTAGAAAAAAATTATAAAACACCTTTTTATTTAGTGTTATATTTAAAAACAACATCGAGGCAGGAATTACAGGAAGAAAATAATAACTCGCCGAGAAAAACATTTCGGTATAACGCGGTTTAGTTGATAAAACTAAAACTTCATAGTATTTTCAGCTCTACTTATTATTTGTTAAACTGTTAAGCTTTGTAAGCAAGTTAATGAAATGAAAAATAAAATTGAAAAATAAATTTTTAATAATAAAAAACAGAACACAATTACTACAAATGGAGGAAACAAAAGATGAAATGTAGCACTTAATTTATACACGTCAAAGGAAATAAAATGTATTTCTTAAAGTCGCCGTCTTATACGTCCAAATAAATTTTGGACTATTTAGCTTCACAATTGTTTGGAAAATTACATTTTTATTATGACTATATTTTGTTGTTTGAATATTTAAATACCTATTTATCCTAAGTTTCGCTTGCTTGTCACAAAAAAATAGTTATCATAACATGTGCTGTTTTATCATATTTTCTGTAACAAGTAACATGTTAAGCGAAAACGATTTCTTTTATAAATAGTTGTCTTATATTTTGTATTTGTTATAGTAACAATACAAAAGTAAGTATATCAAGCTTGATATTTATAAGGACAGATATTTTTCGACTAATAAGTGAACTGCAATTAAAACTGTTTACTGTGACGTTCGTTTACTTTGACTTGGTTGTCATTCTTTCTTTACGGCCATTATCTCTACTGTAGAGTATCCTTTGCCATTACTGTGCATCTCGGATCCATCTTATAAACTTCCAAACTTCACTATAGAGGGCAGTATAACTTTGCAGTAAATTATACCTTTTACCTCCGTATTTAAGTTCTCATGCGGATCGCAAGTCAATTGGGAAAATTCCAAAGAGAAGTTTACATGGAAATATACGACGTATTGTTCTTTGGCGTACTTAAGTCTCATAAGAATATAAAATAAAATCCTTCTTTGAAAGGGTATTGTAAGGGGGTTAATAACAATTTCTGGCAGCAAAGGAGTAACTCATATGAAGCTAATTATGTTTACCGGTTTTGTTTATTCGACTTAGTACGAAAGTTGTGTATAATGACTGGGCACGTGTCTTAATAAGTACAATATATATTATATACTATATTTAGAGGATCAATTTCAAATGCTTTGAATTAAGACGTTGCTAAGGTAAAAATTATATACAGCAACATACGTTTTTCAATCGGCTTTGTCCCAGGTACAAAGAATAACTACCGATTTACATTGAACCTCTACGAACTTATTATCACCCTTTCTCGTAGGTACATTCTTTAAATTTTTTTTTTTCTTAGATATATTTTTTGGACTTGAGGTCTGAAAATTGGACTGTAGGTTAATCTTGTATGGCTTTATAACATACATATTATATATTTTTTCAAAAATCTGTAGAACAACTTTTTTTACTAAGAAAAAACCGAAAAACATTATTTACAAATATGTTATTACAATTCTTATAAGCTGTTATGTTAATCTTTACTGTTAACATATTTAAGTAGAAATTCGCTTTTAATTTTAATATTGTTAATACTTGTTTTTAAAATAAACTGGCGAGAACGGACGTCAATGGTTATTTTACACTTTTGTCGTTTTCAACTGCAGTTGACAGTTCCACGAGCCCGACACCAATCTTGGCAAATTAAAGTGAATAATTAAAACATTTTAAGGCTAATTATTCGGATGTTTAGGTTGACAATTACCACCGACGTGTATGTAATAGAGCATAGTGAACCGCATCTGGCAAGATTGTAATGGGAAATCTCTGTGCTGCATTTACCCGAGCCAAAGCACGAGACCTATACATAACTCATAATGGCAGCTTGGCGCACTAACCCGTTCGTTTTAATTTAGTCGGCTTAAATTTGACCGTTGTACTATAATATACCATTATTATATTATTATAGGTACTACTATAATCATCGGTCCAGATGTACATAGTGATCCATTAAGGATAAGACAATATTATTGTCTATGTTATTTTAAAGTACTACGAAATTACAACGTATTTACTTTTTTTCAGTATAATCAAAGCTCTGTCGACTTTCGGTAACGTATCTATTTAATTAAATTTTATTCATTTATAATAATTTGCTAAAAATGTTAACATCAAAACTAGTAATAACAAATAAAAATTAACAGCACTCAATAACTATGGTGTTACCTAATAGTTATCGTTTAATATTCTAAACGAAAACGAATGTCTTATTCTTAACGAATCAACCTGTACACTAGCGTTGTCGTGCTGCACAAACGCGTTCTCGTTTGCTGCAATGAATTCCATCGACCCGTTTTTTATTTTATTTAAAACAGCTTTTCGCGTACTATTCCATTTTTTAATTTTATTTTTTACGGACGTTTGACCTTTTGTGATTCATCGTGTCAAATTTATACCTCACACGCGTTAACACATTTTAATAAGACATCAACGTTTGTGTCGCTCAAGAGAGTGGCCTCGCTCTTGACCTTTATTCTATACACATTTGATAACCTTTTTATCAGCCGCATAATATTACGTTACCTACGTCATTTTTTTTTTCATCGCGTATTATATTGTTATTATTTATAGAAGGTACACAAATACCTTAGTTTATAGAACTATTCATCTCCGTCCATCTACCGTCAGAGAAAAAATGTTCAATTAGAGCTTATGCCATCAAGATTTTGGGCTGGGCTGCCACGAATACGAGAAAACAATAGTGTCTATAATACCGTTAGGTCAGAACGCTTCAACTGTGGTGTATGACAATAATAGTCGAAAATAGTTGTCAATACTCATGTTCAAGGTATTTTTAAATATAAATCATATTTTTAGATGGTAACTTTTGAAAGTTCAATGAAGGTACACGTTTTTAATAATTTCTGGTCGATAACTAGTTTTGAACAAAATGAACTTAATGACTAGAGCGTTTAAGAGGAACCATATTAAGTTATGGTCAGTAAATATTAGAGATAGGACTTTCAAAATTAAGATTTTCCAAAAAAACAAAAATAAAAGCGACTATTTTTAAATCGTAGGTAAGATATGTTAATATGATACATAAGATATGTTTATTCATGGAATAAATCAAGTTTATCTCGTAGTTAGAAAATTTAGTTAAACTAATATATATTGTTTTTTTCAAGTATTTTGAAAATACTTATTTTGTATTTAGTTATTGAATACAAAAAAGTAAGTATTCGGCCTGCCTTTGACTACAACTATTTTGTAGGCTTTGGTATCACCAGTTTGTCGAAATTGGTAAACTTTGAATAATTATTAAAATACATTTTGCCAACATTAAGCATGTTTTCTTTAAACGATACATTTACTCTGTATTGGGATTTTAATTTTTTAAGGATTTTGTAAATAAATCCACTTTTATGATGAACGTACAACACCGTTTACGCTACTATACACCACACTAGCGATAGAACACCCTGGTATACTTACGGCACGGTTTTTGCTGACTTGCCGGTTTTATTTATACATATATTTCCCTACTTTCAGTAAACTGCATAAACGTCACGCGGTAAAAACTATTATAATATAATAATATATAAGAAACGACACTGCCGGAGTACGGGAGGGGTGGCAAGGGGGCGGGGGAGGTGGGCGAGTGGCCTTATTTGCATCCGAACACCGTTATGCAGGTTCAGCACATACTGTGGATGTAGCTCACGACCCGAAGAGTCGTAAGGGACCAAGTTTTTGCGCCGTTATGGCATAGCACCGAGCGGGATAATATTTTCAGATCACCGTAATGGAAATTTCCCTTTGACAATTTATAGGCACACACACACATATATATATATATAACATAATGTTTACACGGACATCCGACCATAATGTTTTTTATTAGCGTTTCCATAGTACTTGCCGTGCCGCAGAGACCGCGGAAAATTACTTGCGAGTTTCTTCTGCCGCTCCTTGGGTTTTATTGTTATTAAAATATTATCCGAACCCGGATGACGCGACTTTCCGTGGAAACTCTCTGCAATGTTTACCGCTGGTGTGCTATATTGCCAAATCCCAAAAACAGGAATTTCGGCAAACTTATTCACACAAAAATCACGAGAATTTCGCCAACCGCCTTTGGTATATTTATACCGTCGGTACAATATTATACAAAAAAAAAAATGAAAATCACTACAAAATAACATGTTGACGCATATGTTTTCTTAGTCAGGCCGGTTGATGCCAGCTGCTGCCAGTTAGGCCGTTTATGTTGCCACAATTATCTACCGTACTAATTAGCGCAATTGTCTCCTTAGCGTTTCTAATAAGCTTACAGAGTAAATCTTCCCAAAAAAAAAAAAAAAAAATACATTAGTTTACTAGTTATACTGTTTATTTTGTTTCAGCAAAGGTGATGATAACCAAATAACCACCATGGGCATTGCCACGGCTAGTTCGACGGCCATTTCGCTGGAATTCGAAAAGGAGCTGCGGTTGAAGTGCGAAAATCAATTGAACGAAACGATCCGCAATAATACTAGTAAGTAACATTTTTTAAGGGTGAATTTTATTTAAAAAAAAAAATCATTACCCAAATGTCAGTCGACGTCACGGCATCTCGAAAACCATTGTTAACTTTCTAAGTTCCATCGAATATCCTTATAAGGTATTCATAGAAAATTAAAAAAATGTTAGGTCTTAAAAAGTAAATTTCTAAGATTTAATAAAAGGAATACTAATAAACGAATGTTCAAATAGAAATAAAGATCTTAACGAAAATGTGTTAAAAACAATAATATACGAGAAAATTGATAAAATTGATAAAATTCGAGTTATCCGTACAAATCTTATGCAACAAGTTAGGCACAACAAATGGCGCACTTGTCTGTTGTTTTGCATAGTAGATCCTGACTTATACTACCATTGGGAATTCTTCTATTTCACTAAACATAATTAGTTATGTAATAATATATACATATATTTTATATGTATATATCATAAGTTGGTTCAAAAATTCCTTAATTTAGAATTTTGTTTTTAGCATTACCCCTCCTATTTTGCTACGATATAAAAAAAAAATTCTGTGAAAATTTGGTTCGACTACTTAAGCCCTTCACGTGCCCCATCGGGGGTTGAAGTTAAGCCAAATAGGGTAGTTTTTTAGTTGATTGCATTTATTTAAAAACCTATAACAAAAAAATGTCGCCAAAAAAAGTTAATAATAATCATTTTGTAGTATGTCAATAATTATTGTTAGGTATTATTTAAGTGTAGTTATGCGTATTATAATTTATATTTTTATAAGTAATATTAAATATAGTATAATATAATCTGCCAATGCAATTATTTTTTCAAGTTAAAACTTTAACTCATACAATCGGTTGTATTTAGGTAGATAATGTTACTTTATTTTTATTTTTACCTACAACAGATTTTACGGATAATGAACTCGACGCGGCGTCGTTTTTAAATAATTAACAAGGGCTAAAGGCTATAATTTTTTTGTAAGTATGGACAGAGTATTTTTTTGAATTAATAGTTGTGCATAGTTATTATTCGAATTTTGGGCTTGGGATGTAAATGTTGTGCAGGTGGCGCAAAATGCAAATAACTATTATAAGAATATTCCTTATCGTTTTTTACATCTGGTAAGCGTGTTGATATAATATGTATATATATGTTTTATAAAAGTGTAGCTGCTATAATATATTCAATGACAAATGAAAATTATAAAACCCTGTGTAAACTCGATATTTTTTTATTTTCTCTGGACTTAGTTAGCCGTTTGGCGACAAGTCACTGTAATTTATCCTGTCCAACAAAACCCACCAATTATTTTCAACAGCCATAATATTATCTTATGACAATACTATTAAAGCTGTAGTCCATCTTGTTTCATCAGACTTGTGAATCTTGGTTGTTTTTATGTTTTGAACTATCAACATTTTCCCGAGCTTATTAGCGAGTATATAAATTAGACTTACTCAACAGTAGCTGGAAGCAGGGGACAAAAAAATAACAATTATAATTAGTAAACTTCTCAGAAGATGTATTTCACTTCATAGCGATAGTCAAATACGATGGTGCAATAGTATACCGTGTAAAATGAACAATAGACAATTTTTTTGACTGAGAAAGCAAAAAAAAAAAATTTGTAATAAGTTTGGTATAAGAAAAATTAAAATCATAATAATTTATAAAGGAAAAATGTGTACATTCATATTTTTATACCTAACCACTTTTAATAAAGTTGTATACAATACAGTTTTGGAACAATAGGACCAAAAGACATTAAAAGTTTTTAATTTTTTTTGCTAAATCCGAATCTGAACTCAGAATAATTTATAAAACAATATTACTTAATATTCTACTATAATTCTTAGATCAGTTCTGAGTTCAGCAAAGAAAATAGATTAAAGAAATCTACTTGAAATAAATTGAATGACATTAATTGTCTAACGTTCTAAACATGCTGAAAACACCACTTCAGTGTTTTTCCAATTTTTAGGCGAATTTAAAGCTAACTAGACGTGTCACAAAACAATTCTGATTAGGGTTTCTAGAAAAAAATCCAAAAAAATAGATTGGTTGTTGTTCCAAAAAAGGTAAAACATTTCTAGAATAATTGCTATTTTGACTAAAACGGTCGTAAGTACTATGTTTTCCAAAATTTTCCGTGACATTTGGTGTTTGCCAATTTTATTTAGAAACAATGTGTTCTTATTAACTGATGTTTGATGGTCGACTTCAATAATTTTATAAAAGCAAACCAGCAAAACTACTCGTTTTGCGTAGTAAGCTGTTGGGAAATTACAGTCGTATACTCTATTTTTATCAAATAAGATATTATTCACTAAATTTGTCATTTATCTAAAAGGTCATATTATTATCATGTTCAAGTAAAAAATGCAAATTGCAAAGCTTAATGCTTATTAATGGTAAACTTAAATCCGATTTGAGTATAATAATTTGAACACCCGTTTACTGAAAGTATAAAATATCGAACATCTTTGTACGTTTAAATATGTGCATGCAATTATAAATTGCTCGTACCTTTATCAAAAAAGTAAACTCCTCGGGTACTACGTGAAGTTGTATTATACATGGCATATGCTACTTACTGTATCTAAAGTCTTAGCTAAATCAATTAATTTCTCTGTGAACATGTAATTAATAATATTATTCAGCTCCGTCGTCCGTAGGTAGCATATTACCTAATACTTGTTTGTCGGAGTAAACTGTATTAATATTCATGTTTCACAGTAATAATATATGGCTAATAATAATAGTTATAATATTGTTACTAGAATACTACTTGGGTACTCGTTCGTATCGAGGTCATACATATTAATGTTTTGATACGGTATGTAAATAAAACGTTTTATTATTTTTAATCAAATTGTACTACATGAATTCACAGACAAACACAAACCATTAAATACAAACCATTTTAAATTAAATGTGTTTGTGAACCATTAGTTCATCATTAGTGAACCGTGTGTTATTTGATTTTAGTATTTTTCACTTTATTTATTTTTACAAATAGTTACAAAAGTATGTTTTAAATTATTTAAGTTGAGAATATTGTACAGAAAATGTTGATTGGTTGATGGGCAAATTTATAATACTGTAAAAAATCCAACAAAAGTAGGTATAAAGAAATAACAAAATTCATATTATTTCCGAAAAACTAAGCACCTTAAATATTGTTGTACGGTGTAGTTATTATTAATATTAAATGTTTTATAAAAAATTTATTTTTGTCTACGCAGATTTGTCTAGTATAATTTATACTGTTATGAAAATAATAAAATTGTATTTGAATTAATAGCAACCGAGTTCTCTAGTTGAAACCCTTGCCTTTCCCCGTACAAACTCTGTATATTTGAAACTGTATATGGTTTATATATATAAGTTTATTAGGGAGATTTATTTTGGGTTAGCATATTAACCACTACACCTAACTTGACCTAACTTAACCTAACCTTACAAGTGACCGTAAATATTAAAGGAGTTTTCCTTTATCCCTCGAACAACTCAGCTCAATAATTATGACTAACTGTCACAAGTTGTTAATAACTTGTGTATGGTGCAACAAACAACTTGAACATACCAATGTATATTGTACTTCTATTTTTATACGCTTTAAAAATTAGCTGATCTATAAAAAAGGTTATATATTTTTAGAATATTACAATACATTTTTTTAGACTTTACTCGCGCTTAAGAAAAAGTCCGTTGACAATTATACACTAAAGTTTGTTTTAACAAAATATTACGTTTAATCTAATTTGTGGCGAATTAAGTTTTCTGTTTTCTTTCTAAATATTAATCATACTTTCAAAACTTTTTAAACAAATTAGTTGTTTCTTGCCTGTGGCTAAATATTCTTTTCCGGAGAGTAAAAAGTTACTTTTTTATTAAAAAAAAGAAAAATTTAACTAAACTATTATTATTGTAATATGTATACAGACAAGTGACAGTACAAATAATTATTGTCATTGTGTAAAACAAATCAATTCTATCTCGTTTCTGCTTTAAATGATTGACTTTCAAACATATGTCGTTGATAATTTTAAAGAAATAAAGATAAACAAACGTGGTCTGTGTCTGTGGTCAGTCGGGTAAAGTTGAAAACTGATATCAAATTCGAAATCAGCAATCCGTATGAAAATGAGAAAAAACCCCAAAAATGTATTAATTTTTCAATTTAAAAAAACGACAAGTTATAATATATATTTTTTAATAGTCAAATTAATCCGATTAATCAAACTTAAATCGGATATTGTTCAAGAATAGTACGAATTGTTAAAAATCTTTTCATTATTTTTATTTTTTAAGAGTGATTTTAAGATTCAGGATCTGATTATAAGACTGATGGTTAATCAAGCTTGAGTCTATACAGTAAAAAACAAAATGTAAAAACTTTATGTTACTTTAGACTTAAGAACACAGTGCGACGGCCTTTTGACCATTGGTTCTAATAAAATTCGTTGTGTTTAGTTTTGTTGCCCAACATAATATACCTACGCCGACGATTATAACGGACTTAAATATAATAGTAAACTGTTAAAGAGCTCGACATGACGATATGTCACAACCGAGATAATACGAATTGGCTGTAGCACATTATGTCAACTATAAAATTATGCACAACACATTACGGATGCATTCAGGTGATCGTTGACATTACAGGCTTATTGCAAAAGTCATTTTGGTGGCATCGGCTAAACCGCAAATATACAATATATAACCCTCATGAATATAGACTTAGCGGTTGGTCTTAAAATATTCATCCCAGAATCGATCCCAGTCGATGAACGGTACATTTTCTAAATAAACATCAACATTGTCCACGAGTACAATAACATATTATCTCGTCTAGTGCATATAATATTATTTTTTTTGGCATTTGTAATAAACATATAGTAGTTGACCATTGTATGGATGCACATTACATTGTAGTTATCGCATATAGGTTCTAGCATTGCAATAATATAGTCTACTGATATAAGCCGGTAATAACAATTACCAAAATCC